CATGTCTGAGCTGAACATCTGCAGCCCACTGAGCTGAACTCTCAGGGGAGTGCTAGAGAAGCACCTCTGGGGACCAGTCATCTCCAGTCTCACATGGGATCTTATCAGGGCTGTTTTGTTCCTTTGCTGAGGGGGAAAAGCCAGGAGCTGAGAGCTTGCCAGACATGGAGGGAAGGTCATTCCTAAGGCTAACACTGCCAAATGAGACAGAAACCTCTCACATGAAAAGCAGTGTGATGAATCATTCATGTTTTCTCCTGGGAAGAAAGGAATCCTTAGAGCTAACCTTAAATCCCTCTGCACTAACCAATGACACACAGTAAGGGAACCACCTCCAGCACTTCCCAAGCTTTTGTTTAGAATTAGCTTTTACTTAAAGCGGTACTGGCCAGTGACCTCTTGGGAGAGAGTACACACACATGATCTCATGGTTTACTGTAAGTATTTTTGTAACCTACAAATACACCTGGACAAAGGCCAGCCCAGTGTGAAGTGAGCTTTGCTGCTCTTGCAAACCAGGCACTTTTGTCAAATGCACATCCTTGTTTGTAAAACTTGCTGACTTGCTGTACCACTAAGAAGCACCCATCAGGCTGCATTTTTTGATGAGTGCTGAATATGGAAGTAACACTGTCTGTGTTTTGCTGTCCATAAAGCCAAAAACCCTTGGAAAGCTCAGCAGCCTGAAAGCAAGGATGCAAATAGACTCTGTACGGCCATGAAAACATCCTGAAGAGACATTTCTTCCCTCCCAACCCCCAGGATGACAGAGACGTAAGCATTCCAATGCCCTGGTTAGACTTTGTGTTCTTGCTGACTGCTGTTATCAAAAGGCAAGACAAGAAGACTGTGCAGGGCTGTATTTAAGCCTGTGAGAACTTTGATAGACAAGCTTTTCTTTGACTGAAAAACAAATTTGAAAAGCAGGACAGTAGGAGCACAGTAGTACTGTGAAAAGGATACCCCAAATAATAAATTTAATGCTACCGGAAATAGATGCTTGGAGTCAAAGCTTATTACCAAGATCATTAGCATCTAACTTTGAGCAAAAAGCTCACAGAGGTGTGACAGGGGAGTAGGTAAGGGCAACAAAGTTTTGTGAAATACAGAAGTTAGCTCTAGATGTCTTCTTTTGCAGTCCATCAAGTATAAAATTACTATGCCAGGTAAAAGGGAGTTTACTTGTAAACAGCCACACCTGAAAGGGTCCTGACAGGAGGCATCTCCACATGCAGGAAACCCATAGACCTCTCACATCTGCACTGCACTTTAATGCATCCCCCTGTGGCTGTTAGGTAGCCAACAAAAAGAGGAAGGTCCCTTCCTCTTCTTCCCTATAGGGTGCAATGTAGATGTGTACAATCCTTTATTTTGCACAGGAAAGGAATTGCCTAGCTCTTGCAGTCCACCTTTGGTCATGGTTTTCAGGCTTCTTTAGCAGTATGCAGAAAGACTTCGTAAGAGTAGTGTGCAACTTACAAGTATAAAGCAATTACTGGTTGGCTAGCAATACAAAATATGTCTAGGATTTAATAAGTGAGTCAGGGAAGCATCATGCTCTCCATCCCTAGAAGACGTCTGAGAAGTCATTGGTGGTCAGGAAAGCATCAGTCGGAGGGAGAGAGACTGACCTGTATCAGTCACTGAGACACAGCCTCTATTGTTGCTGGGTTGCTTTCAATTCCCACGTCACTTGACACAGATAGCTCTGGTAACCCCATCAATTACCAGGTCTGGTTTGTTGGTTTGTTTTTTTTTTTTCACTTTAGGGTTTTATACCTTTCCAAGTTGGTGTTTATCCCTTTGAATCCTTTAGCATCTAAAAAAATGTGTCTTAGCAAGCTTAGTCCTGTGTGTTATTTATTTTTTCTGTAGGCTTCATAATTGCTTCAGTAATTGCCACCAAGGGGACTAAGGGAGCTTCAGAGGGATGGGGCCTCTGGAGGTAGATTGTGATATGCCCAAAGAAAGGCACATATATGCTGCCAAAATCTGGGGAGCAGCAGAGAAGTGAAAAGGAAATGTATGAGCAGTATAATGACATAAAATCACAGCTGATTTTTGTTTGGTGTCTTTCAGCAGCAGAAGCAGCTTAGGAAGATTTCAAGGGAACTCGAGAAGCAGAAGAGGAAGTAGTGTGATAGACAGTTTTATGTGGAGGAGTATGGCAAAGTCCTGTTTCATTCCTGAAGTTTGTTTTTTCTGGGCACATGATCCTGATTGCAGAGAGTAACTGTCCATAGTGCCAAAAGAGCCAGGAATTCTCGAGATCAATTATGTCTGCCTTTCCAGGTTGTGAGGTTTCTGCAACTCCAACAACCCAAGTGAGAAAATAGAGGACATTATGACACAGACAAGGTTTCTGCTAAGGGCTCAGCAGTACCACTGGTCGAGTACCATCTGAGCTGGGGAATCAGTAATTAGGAAGCTTCCACAGGCAGTTCTGCTTCATGCATTAGCCTGAGTCTTCAGTCCCCGGTGTGTTACACACAAGAACTAAAACCTAGAGGCCTCATACAAGAAGGTACGTGCCAAGTGGTGCAGCTCAGTGAGATGATGCAATTTACTTTTGAGCAGCTCACATCTTCCATGGCACTTCTGAGGTAGTTTCTTTACATATGTACCATGAGGGTAGCTCTGTAGAGGAAGAGCTACAGGAGAGCTTTTCTGTAGAGAGCTCTGTAGGAAAGAAGGAGAGGAGGGGAAGAAAGAGCATGAATGTTGCTGAAGGTGAGCAGACTGGTGTTTTTCTAAAGTGAGTAAGGCAGTTTTGGCATTGCTACCTTGTTAGCCAATAAGTACTACAAAAAGTATAATATAATTTAGGTTCAGAGTGAACCAAAAAGCCAAGCCTATTTCAGGACTGTGGTTTACCTTGTGGTTTCGGAGAGCAAGCTTTGTGGATGTTGAGTGCCAATGAAGAGTAGAAGTGGCATGGACTCAAGTGCAGCAGGAAAGGTGGTAGTGAGATAGATATTTGGCATGAAGGACAGTGGCACACACACAGTAATTTATCTTCTAAATTGAGGACATGACCAGAGAGGGCATGCATGCCCAGGGTACTCTGTAGGGTTTAATTGCCTGCCAGAGCAGTCTGCAATTGCAGTGTTCCCACCCCAAACACTGAAAATAGCCTTACATACTTCACATGGCATGAACACAGACATGTGAATAGGTAGCTCAGCCATCTGGAGCAGCTGGGGATTTGCATTGTGACCCCGGGAAGTTAACTTAGTTAGGAGAGAGCCTCAGCCTGGGCCCATGGGTAGGCATTGTCCTTAGAAATTTGCTAGGTCAACATATCATCTTGCATCTTGGTGAAGCTTCATGTTGGCTGTTTCTACAGCATACTTGCCATGAATGTTTGTATCCTGTTGGTACTTCCACATTCCCACACTTCTGTGTTGTACCCTGCTGTCTGATCACTGCAGTCCAGCAGTGATGGGCTGCAGCTCACTGGGTTTGCTGCAGTTTCACAGTGGCTTTGTCTGATGCTAAAATATATCTTTGTCCTTTGGAGATACTATCTTCCTTGTAATGTAGCTGATCTCCAGTCTCTGCATGAGTTAGGTATTTCTCAATGGCTGTGGAAGAAAGAAGAAAACAAAAATTTTGCCTGTAGTTAAAGAAGAGTAGTGTTTCAGGGGCCCAAATCAGTTTATTTCAACTTACCTATAGGAAGGTAAGTCTAGTCAGTGCACCACAGGGTGGGAATCTGTGAGAAAATACGTTGAAGGTGATTTCACTTTGCTGTGGACAAGTGAGTCACCTGGGCCAGGCCATAGCTGTGCCTTCCAATATGTGCCCAAGACAGCTGAGCTGAATCAAAGAGGGAAACTGTTGCTTCTCTGCTGTGCCTCTTGGCCAAGAATGTGGTTTTCTCAGATAGTGGCTGTCTTGGTCAGGCCTGCCCCAGCTACAGCATCAAAACCAAGCTTGAGGATGCACCTCTGTCAAAGCTGCAGTGCCTCTGGAGAGGTAAGGGTTAAATACAGGTGATGCAGTTCTAGGGTAATGGTTGGACTTGATAATCTTTTCCAACTAAGTTGATTCTGTGATTCTATGATTCTATGCTCTGAGGGGGAAGAAACACCTCCCAATGGTGTGGAGACAGCTGGGCATACCATGAGCCAGCCCCACTGAGTACCCCAGCCTCAGCTCTTGGGAAGCCCAGGGCATGTGCTGATAATGGGAGCTGTGTGGGGCAGGGATGTGGATCTGGAATGTAACCCTGAAGTAACCCTGCAGCCTTGCTTCTCCATCCCTGCAGTTGGAAGTAGCCCTGCAGGGTGCTGCACCTGCAGGCCAGCTGCAGCAAGCTGGGCACGCTGTGGCTCCCCACAACACTTGGAGACCAGCTGGGTGACAGCTTCTCTCTTTTGTGCGTTAGAGCTGCATCCCTGTGGCCTCTTCATGCAGGTATATGAACCTATAGACTCCTGATTTGTGTAGGCACCATATGAGCTCTTCTAAAGCAGCATTTGTATCCTTTTGCCCAAGGTTAGCGCTTCCTTCCCCTCCAGCCTCAGCTAAGCTACATAATGTGATCACTCCAAAAGAGCAGCAGTTCCAGCACCATTTCACAGTTGTTTTGCAGTACAGCAAATAAAGCATAAAATCTCTCCAACTTGTGATACTGGAAATTGTCTTGTTTTGACCAGCTAGCTAGAAAGAAAAGCCTGTGCTTTTGGTAAGCAGTCTGATTGTCCCCAGCAAAGTAAGAGCAATTATCTAGTATTTACACTTTTATTGTTGATCAGTTATGGTAAATGCAGGAGGTCTGTAGGTTTAGAGGTAGAAAAGAACTGTTATTTTTTGTGCCATACAATTCAGTGGTTTTGCACTGAGCTCAGTCTACTCCATAAAGTTTGTGGCTATTTAACCTGAGAATCTGAGTATTCTAAAGGAAACGGAAACTCTTGACCTGTAATCAAGCTGTACTTTGAGTCTCACCTTCTTTTTTGTCTTTTCTTCCCTTTCCTTCCCCCTTTCATTCAAAGGATGAGAAGAATCAGGTGTTGATTACAAATGCTTGGCTGCAGATGGTGAGTAACCTATGTCAATAAGGAAAAACCTCTTTTCTAATAGCAAACTACTGAATGTGGTATCTTAGCCAAAAAGCAAGACTGATATATTTTTAACTTGTTTATAATGTGAAAAAAAGCAGGCATCTTAGAATTCCTCTAGTGCTCCTTTTAGCACTGAGATGTCATAAATCCTTTGGGCGGACCTGTTGACCTTTGCAGCATTGTTAGGCCAGCAGATGTACGGGTTTAGTAACAAAGAGCCCAAAGATCGGGTCCCACCATAGCTGAAGAAGAGTTTCTTCAAGGGGCTCAAGGCCTTCTCCAAGGCCGGTGACAGGGACTTCTTGTGAAGGAGCCAAATGCCAGCAAGAGCCAGGCATCCTGCACTCATGGCTTCTGGAAAAATCCCCACCTCTGTCTGAAACGGGGAGCCAGGGCTGCCCGCGAGGAGGGCAGGGCACAAATATCCCCTGCACTTGCCACCAAACACAGCAGTGATGCAGCCATGCTGGACTACATGGAGACTGCTTGGGCTGGGCAGCGGGGTGGCCAGGTGTGGCAAGCAGCCCCTGCTAGCAGTGCTCAGGCACGTCATTGGGAAAACTGCTTTTCCTCCTGGTTTACAAACCTCATCCATAAATGTTCCCCCTTCCTCTTCTGAAACCTGCTGCAGTTGAGGCATGACCTGCACCAGTCATGCAGTATACGCAAAACTGGTCTTCACTGAGGGGCTCTGGGTGAGAGAGTTTTCTGTCAGGTCTGCTGCTGGCCCTGTATCACACAGTATCACAGTATCACAGTATGTTAGAGATTGGAAGGGACCTCGAAAGATCATCTAGTCCAATCCCCCTGCCAGAGCAGGAACACCTAGATAATGTTACACAGGAATGCGTCCAGGCGGGTTTTGAATGTCTCCAGGGAAGGAGACTCCACAACCTCCCTGGGCAGCCTGTTCCAGTGTTCCGTCACCCTCACTGAGAAGAAGTTTCTTCTCAAGTTTAAGTGGAACCTCTTGTGTTCCAGTTTGTACCCATTACCCCTTGTCCTATCATTGTTTGCCACTGAGTAGAGCCTGGCTCCGTCCTCGTGACACTCCCCCTTTATATATTTATAGACACTGATAAGGTCACCCCTCAGTCTCCTCTTCTCCAAACTATAGAGACCCAGCTCCCTCAGTCTTTCCTCATAAGGGAGATGTTCCACTCCCTTAATCATCTTTGTTGCCCTGCACTGGACTCTCTCCAGCAGCTCCCTGTCCTTCTTGAACTGAGGGGCCCAGAACTGGACACAATATTCCAGATGCGGTCTCACCAGGGCAGAGTAGAGGGGAAGGAGGACCTCTCTCGACCTACTAACCAGCGCCCTTCTAATACACCCCAGGATGCCATTGGCCTTCTTAGCCACAAGGGCACAGTGTTGGCTCATGGTCATCCTGTTGTCCACTAGGACCCCCAGGTCCCTCTCCCCTACACTGCTTTCTAACAGGTCGTTCCCCAACCTATACTGGAACCTGGGGTTGTTCCTGCCCAGATGCAGGACTCTACACTTTCCCTTGTTATATTTCATCAAGTTACTCCCTGCCCAACTCTCCAGCCTATCCAGGTCTCGCTGGATGGCAGCACAGCCTTCTGGCGTATCAGCCACTCCTCCCAGCTTAGTGTCATCAGCAAACTTGCTGATAGTACACTCAATTCCCTCATCTAAATCATTGATGAATATATTAAATAATACTGGTCCCAGTACTGACCCTTGAGGCACTCCATTAGTCACAGGCCTCCAACTAGACTCAGCCCCATAGACTACAACTCTCTGGCTTCTCTCCTTCAGCCAGTTCGCAGTCCACCTCACTACCTGATCATCCAGTCCACACTTCCTCATTTTAGCCGTGAGGATGCTGTGGGAGACTGTGTCAAATGCTTTGCTGAGGTCAAGGTAGACCACATCCACCGCTCTGCCATCATCCATCCACTGTGTTATTTCCTCATAAAAGGCTAAGAGATTGGTCAAACATGATTTCCCCCTGGTGAAGCCATGTTGACTGCCCCTCATAACCTTCTTATCCTTGATATGCCTTAAGATGGTACCAAGGATAAGGTGTTCCATCACTTTCCCAGGGATGGAGGTGAGGCTGACCGGTCTGTAGTTACCCGGGTCCTCCTTCTTGCCCTTTTTGAAGACTGGAGTGACATTTGCTTTCCTCCAGTCCTCAGGCACCTCTCCCGTTTCCCAAGACTTGGTAAAGATGATGGAGAGTGGTCTAGCAATGACTTCCGCCAGTTCCCTCAGCACCCGCGGGTGCATCCCATCTGGACCCATGGATTTATGGATGTCCAGATTGCTCAACTGGTCTCTAACCCATTCCTCATCGACTAAGGCAAACCGCTCCATCGACCTGACTTCATCTAAGGTCTCAGGGGTACAGGGCTCTTCAGGACTGCCCGCAGCAGAGTAGACAGAGACAAAGAAGGCAAGTAGACAGAGACAAAGAAGGCAAAATTTGTATGGTAGGTATGATCTTTTCTCATGGTGTGTAAACCAGTCTCCTTAATGGCTTGTGCTCAGTAAGGATGTAGTTCTGGAGGGAATAACCTGTGGGAGACTTGAATGATTGAACTAATTCTGCTTTGAGTTCAGCGGCCAAAAACTGTCTCATGTTAATCGGTGCAACTGAACAGACTATTTCTTCCTCAGCTACCTATTGGGATTTGCAGTAGAAGTGAGTTATTTCCTATTGCAAAAACAAACCCAGGCCAACCTATAGGACTATAGACAAGAGCCTGTGGATGTCTTGACCCAACAGAGGTGTTCTTCAGTTATAGCACTGATAACTGTTTCCCTTGCAACCCTCCCACAGAGCTTTGCTGAAAGTCACAAAGTTCAGCATAAAAGCTGTACCAGCACCTTTCTTGAATTAACTGGGTTGAGTTGTAGGATAGGGCATTAGAAACAACCCCTTAGGATTTAAAGTTCACTTGCCTACCTGTCCTAGCAAGGTGGTTATTAAAAGAGTCACCCAACCTTTGTAACGGATTAAATTATTTCCACTGAATAGGGACTTTCAGTCTGTAGTACCTGTATGATTGATGATACCAAAGTCATTCAAACCACCTCAGCTCAGAATCACCATGCCTCATGGGGATGCCTACTGCCAGTGTTTTGCCAGCCCGTCAGAAAAGGTTTGGGATGCCTGGCTTCAGGCCACAAGGTGGAGAGGTTAGACACTAAATTAAAATAAAGCTCACAGCATTCAATCATCACACTGTGGATTTCTCAGTATATGCTAATACTTCATAATAATTAAAGTCTAGAATAAAACAATTATCATAATACTGCTATTACTACTAGAAAATCCATTCTGTTCCCATAATATTCCAGACAGCTCTGAAGACTTTTACCAGCTCATATAATCTGATGTATGTATTTGCCAACAGTACTGGGTTGATGTTTACTTGTCTTGGGATCAGTATGAATACCCGGGGGTGCAGAACTTGCGATTTCCAGCCGACCAGATTTGGGTACCAGACATTCTTCTGTATAACAGGTAAGCAAGATGTGCAGCAGCTGGTGAAAGCCTAGAACTAGACCATTTGATGCTGAATATTGGCCATGCTTCACTGATATTTTGGGGCTTTTGCAATCTGGGGATTTGGCTTTTACTCTAGAAATAGTAGCAATAAAAGCAAACAAGCACCCACTAATAGATTGTTCTAATAGCCAATAGAAGTCTTCCTTGATGTAGCTCTGCAGATGTCTTTACCTTTTTCCCAGTGAACACAGAAAACAATCCATATTCTTCTTATAATTACCATGGCTCTCATGGAAAATTATTATCAGGTATCTTCTATAGTGTGCCTGCTTGAACTAAACAAACTAGATTTTCTTCCCTCTTTCCTCATCACTCATATTTTATAAATCTCACCATCATTCCTGTTCTCCTCTGAACACTGTAATCTGTTTTTCCTCCTCCACAACTGAATCCAGGTCTTTAGCCAGCACTTCTGCAGTGTTGAATAGAGTGGAAGCTCTCTAGATAGATGTTTCTTTAATGCTTTCCAGGAAGAGGGCATTTGGGTTTTGCTTTGACTAACAGCTTAATTTTGGACTTTTTGATCTATCACAAACTCCAGACATTGTACTTCAACCTTGCTGCCTTAGTAGATTTTCACTGATCTGCCCTTCTCTGGGAGTTTCAAGGGTAAAGCTTTCTAACCATCCAGACTGAATTTCATTCTGTTTGTTTCCCCAGTTCACCAAGATCCATTTTACATTCTAAGGCTCATGAGAAGATATCCAAAGGAGTCTTAGAGTGACCTGGATTGCTTAAGTGTTCTTCTTCAGCTTTACTCTTCACAGTCTCTTTATTCCTTTTCAGTCTTCAAAAAGGAGGCATATAGCTTGGTCCATATTACATTAGAAGGACATGATGTAGCAAAAGCTCTCTGAAGTTCAGATAGATCACCTGCTTCCTCTTGCTCAGTCAGTTAGAAAAGTGGATAGATTTGATGCAGTTGACCCTTGGCAAATCTGTGCCAGCTGTTTTCACCTCATGAGCTTTGAAGTTAGGTTGATATGTCTATAATTTCACCTTTAAAAAAAAATAAATCAAAATTCTCTTTGATCTTTCTTCATTCACTGAGCCCTTCCATATTCTCCACGAGCTCTCACAGATAATTGTTAATGCTTCAGAGGGTATTTCGGTCAGTGTCTTCAGTTCTCAAGAGTAAATTTCGTCAGCCCTGCCAACTGGAATCTGTCTTATCTGCATTTCTTTAGCCTATTCCTCCCCTATTCCGCTCTGAACTCCTTCCACTGTATGAGAATTAATTGTGAGCCTCAGCTTGTGAAGAGTAAAGCATAGAGAGTAAAGGAGACTGCAGTTGTCTGCGCACTTGTTTCCTTTCCTCCCACAGCAAGGAAAGGATCTATGTGGTCCTTTGTGTTTTCCTGATTTCCCTGCATTTTTAAATAACTTTCTTGCTGCTTTTCATGTCTTTTCATAGTTATTACTCATTCTGCGCTTAGCCTTTTCGATTTTATCCCCTTTGCTTTGTGCTGGGGACAATACTGAGGACTGAGAATTCAGTATTAATGGAATAAAAAGGAGGTCATAGGAGAAACAGAGGGTCTGAATTTTCTACAGCTAGTTGTGAGACAGGGTGTGTAAGGTGCAGGCTGTGTCATGCAACAGCCGTGATAGGCAAGGCACTTACACCATCAGCCTGTAGGGGAGCCCACTTTAGTTAAACTCTTCTCAAGAGACCCTCTGGAGCAAGTCTCCAGGCCTGCTCCCTTGAAGAATTCTTGTCTTTGCCTGGCTCATTACTCCCGTTTTACTCATAATTGCTGGAACTGTAAAGAAATTATCTTTTCTTGGTCCCTTTCACCTAGTTTCTCCTCTTAGAGTCTCAATCTCTTCCTACAAGCCCCAGTGCCTTCCTCCACTGCTGGAAGCAAACCCGTGGCTCTCTGCATCCTGAAAGACTGCAGAATTGTTGTCTTAGGCCACTATTACTCTTGCAAAAGGTATCTGGATAACAGATAACTTGATTTTCACTGTAGCTGCCTGATTCTGACAGAAGCCCCAGAAAAGCCATATCATCCTGACTCTCTACTCTTAGGATACAGATACTGTGACACCTTTGCTCCTTTCACTTCTGTGTTTTCTCCGAGACATCAAGCAACTTTGCTTCTCACTTCTTTGCGGACATTGCAGCATGGAACCATCACACCTGAGAGCAGGCCAACAGTATCTATGAGAAGCTGAGATACTGATCGAGGGTGGACATGTCACCCAGGTGTAAGACCTTAGTTCAGTCTGTGCATAAAATTCAGCCAAAACGTTGTTTTTATGCTGACAGTTACTACATCTTAACTCAAACATCAGCTTGATTTTTGTTTGTTTTGTTTATACTCTGTTATAGTGCAGATGAAAGATTTGATGCGACATTTCACACAAATGTGTTGGTGAATTACTCTGGATCCTGCCAATATATACCTCCAGGTAGGTAGGACACAGAAAGCATTTGTTTGCTTAAAGTCAAATAAATACAAGAAGTTTTTCTTCATGCATGAAACCAAGGTGTTTAGAAGCAGTCTGTGGAAATTTTGCAAGCTATATAATTATGGGACATAGTGATATAATTTATATCCATTATTAGTGGTGTATTTCCACTTCACAAATCAATAGATTACTCTCCTAAGCAGTTTGCTTAGAACATTAAGAGACCCAGTTGAGGTGTTGTCTAAAACAAAGTAGTGTGCACTCTCACATCGTGTTTCATGTTAGTTCTTTCTTGAGAGTGGAAAGGCGTGTGACCACAGGAATGAAATTGACATGTACCAGAGAAGAGACTTTTCCATCCCTCTAGGTAAGGAGGCGATGCAGAGGTTGCCTATGTAGGCTGATCTAGTATCCTGCTCATCTCTTGGTGAGCTACAAACTTCATGGTAAAGAATTCATTACTTAAGAACCAAAAGAAAGAGTAAACAGAAAAAGTAATAAAGGAAATCTGTTGTATAAAATACAGGAAATCCTTTGTTACAGTGATTTAACTGCTGCCAAAAATCTGCAAAATTTTGGAAGAAAAAAGTTTATAATCAGCCTGCTAACTGACAAGGACTCACAGAAGCAGCTAGATTAATCAAGACAGCGAAAAACATGGAAGAGTGGAAAAAATGGTTTTTCCAAAGCTTCATGAAAGTTTTATTTCCCATGACTCTAAGAACAGGCTGTCCTCATTGTTGTTCTCAATTAGAGAAAAAAGATAGTTGGAGGAAAAGAAAGCACAAGAAGGGAACAACCGTCTGCTGTTAAGGAAAAGATCACAGCCAAGATTCAGGAGAAGCTGTGATCAGAGCCTCCATGTAGCCCATCCAAAAATGGCCATGATGGTGGGAGTCAGACCTCCCAGATTCTGAAGAGAAAAATCAAAGGAAACCCAGCCATCCCAGATCAGGAACATAGTCTTGCACATATGGTTATGACACAGTGCCCTGTGCTTTTGCAGCAGAAGGCAAAGTCAGTATTCAGGGATATCTGTTTTGGAGATTTTATCTTCAGAAGGCACAGCTCAAGAACTTACTGTAAAACACCAAACTCTGATCAGTTAGATGACTTGGAGCTGGGACTCGCATTAGCTGGTGTTTTAGGGGGCATACAGACACAATAACTGCAAATATGAGGGTAGGTGCAGTACTGGTGATAATTTTCCAACAAAGCAGAGCTGCCTTTCCTCACACAGTGCCTCTGAACTGGCCAGCATGCAGTGAGCTGATGAGGTAAGGTGAAGGCCTACAAAGGTGAGGGTTTGCAGGCATGACCTCTGTACTTTGCCACCAGCTGCCAGTGTTACAGACTGCGCAGATCATCTCCCCACTCTCCAAGCCCTCCATACTCCTGGACAACTGAGGAAGTCCCACAGCCGCAGCTCTGGCCCCACAAATAAAGGTTGAAGCATCAGTTAGGGGTTTTTTTTAGTTCTCTCAGCTGAATTAAAAAAAAAAAAACAACAAAAAAATAGATTGCAACAATAAACAAGTATTCATCTCTTAAGCTGCTTAAAATGTCACATGAAATAATGACAGTGGACTAGGCATATCCAGAGTAAAATTCAAGGTTAACATACAGAAGACAATGCCAGCACTGAATGAGCTTTAGCATAGCATGTATTTTCAAGGGACTGTGGGTATAATGCAGGGTCTAATACAGAGCTCCTTTCAAAGAACTTGTCGTAGAACTTGCAGCCAGAGTGTGTAGTCGACATCCATGTAGTCTTGGCTTCTGTCAGGCCCTGCAGCACTGACTGTGATCTGCTGGGTACAGCCAGCATTAGAAGACAGGCTGGGCTGCTCCTGAGTGGCAAGAATGTCCTGGGCAGCCTTCCTCAAGGATGCAGTGAAAGAGAGAGGGATCTTCTTGGATACCCTAGGAAAGAAGGTTATTCCACCCATGGCAGCATCTTCTGCCTGCGCTAGTTGTTTGATTACATTGTGACTACATCAGACAGACTTTTGGAGAGCAAAGTTGCTCACAGTCGATCAGACAGATAAGGGTAGAAATTAATTACACCCTGCACATGCTTGCTTCTGCCTGATTTCTATTCACAGGTATTTTGAAGAGCACATGTTACATTGACGTCCGCTGGTTCCCCTTTGATGTGCAGAAATGTGATCTGAAGTTTGGCTCCTGGACTCACAGTGGCTGGTTGATTGACCTGCAGATGCTCGAGGCAGATATTTCCAACTACATCTCAAATGGAGAATGGGATTTAGTGGGTAAATCATCTGGCCTAGAAATTTTTAGTAATCCCAATTTTCAAAGGCAACCCCCAAATATATAGAAATGATCAATCCCACTGGGACATGAAATACAGATATTTAAAAAAGAGAAAAAATATCACAAATCAGAGACATCTTTTTAGCTGCATTTATTGAACTGTGTCTGAAAAGGCTGTGATCTGAAGCAATTGCATGCAGCTGAGTACATAATGAAATCTACTGGTCCTGATGCATCTGAATGGTATATCTAAACTTGGATGCCTCATGTAGATGCATGGAACACTACTGTCACATCTATTCTAACATGTCAGCCAAAAATTGATTGGTGTTAATCCCACTATTTCAGCAAAACTGGAATAAGCATTTAGAAAGATGGATCTCTGTCACCCCAAAAACCATCAAAGTGTCTACCAGTACATAATAACTGCAAATAACTGCAGTTCTGTATGTTTCTATTCCCTTCTGTGCTTTAGAGAATACCTGTTTTTTTAAAAGATAAATCTATGCCCAGAACTAGTTATTCAAGGTCTGGGCATAGAACTTGCAAGCTCATATTCAGTGTGAGCTCCTACTGAGTTACTTTGAGCTCATTTATGTAGCTGCATGTCAGAAGCAGTATCAATGGATAGAGCTTAGGCCACTCTGAGAAAAGCTTGCAGAAGATGCACATCATCTTCTGTCTGGATATGCAGACAAGGATATAACTGACTAACTGCATGCAGTAGTTTTACCTTTCAGGGCATTTGAGAAATAATACAATAAGAAACATCACTGGTATTCAGTTTCATGAGAAGATGAAGGACTCTGTAGGGAAGTTCTACTAAAGTGCATCCACTTTAAAACACTCCTGACTTTACAGTGCTCCTTTATGGTGCATGAGGCACATTGCCTTTTGTCCTCTTTAATCTATTAATACATGTATGCATCATTGGCTGCAAGTGTTAGAAAAATTACTTCTGCCTGGTAACTTTTCTCTGTTACCAATTGCTACAGGACACTTAAAAGCACTCTTCTATGCACAGTGTGTGTTGGAGGTGCTGCACATTGGCTCATAAACCATCAGTTCTTGGCCCATTTTAAGGAGATACATGGTAGTCATGCTTCTCTTCCTACTCTGATCTCTTTCCCTGTAGGTGTCCCAGGCAAGAGGAATGAGATGTACTATGAATGCTGTAAAGAACCATACCCAGACGTGACGTATACCATCACCATGCGTCGACGAACGCTCTACTATGGCTTGAACCTACTCATTCCTTGCGTTCTCATATCTGGCTTGGCACTGCTTGTGTTCCTTTTGCCAGCTGATTCAGGGGAGAAAATTTCTTTAGGTAAGTGCTAAAGGATTAATTTCTTTCATAAGTGCTTCCTATGAAATGGAAAACAAGTACCTCATGGTGCTTGATGAATAAAGATTTCCCTTCAGGAGCAACAGAAGCACTTGTATGGTTGCAGAAACCAGGGGAGCAGCTTTCTGTTATGGCAATCATACAACCTGTGCTGAACACTTGTAAAATTTTTGGATTTTACCGTGGAATGAGGCAGAATTTGTCCCTGGCACGGGCAACAGTGATAGTACTCTTTCAATTCCTGTTGTTCTGTCTTTAGCATGTTTCAATGTATTTCACAGCTGGTTAACTCTTTCTGAGACAAGACATACTAAGACACAGAGAGTGAAGGGGTGTGAGCAGCAGCAGCTGAACATTGGGTTTTCACCTCCAAGTTCAGCTCCCAAACCACCAAGCCATGAGCCTCCACGAACGCAAAGCAGTGACAGCCAAGGAAGGGCTAAATGAGATTTACTGTTGTGTGTGTTGATAAAGACAGGAGGGGTGCTTCAAAGAGAAGATGGGGAGATGTTTAAATACACAAGACTGGCTCAGGTTAGACCTTAGGAGTCAATTGTGCATTTTTCAGGACAGAGACCTTTAAATCATACGAAGTGCCCTCAGTGTTAGCAGAACAATGAGGGATTTGAGCAGCCTGTCTTACAAGAAGTAAAACAGGCTATGGAGGATACAATTGCTGTCTATGAAACTTAAGATGGAGACAAGGAAAAGTGTTATTTGAGCTGACGTACAATGCTGACAAAAAAAAAATAGGAGATAATGTTCTTGCATTGACCTTGTGATTTCTCAGTACCATGACAGTTACATTTAGCAACCATCTTTCTAGATAGAACAAACAAAGAGCTTCTTTTAAAATAGGCTACAGCTCTTTGGAGAGTGTTCTGTAAGATACAATATCCAAAACCTGGAGTCATGTCTGTGCAAATCTCTCCTAGCCTTTAATAACCATCTGGGCTTTGTTTGCACTATTCTTTGGAAAGGCAATATAATTTACCAGTTCTGCAAGCTTCATTTCACTTGGCAGGAAAGATTTCTCCTTTACTTAAAGAGGAGAAAAGGTTTGGGTGTAATTAAGAAAAGTGAAAAGACAGCAGATAAAGTTGCATCCAAAAATGCTCTCGCTTTGTGGAAGTTCTTATCTTCACTGACAGATGTGAAGTCATGGGTTTGGCTTAGCTGCAGATCAGGACAAGGTTATATTTAACAGCAAAGACATCAGAGTAGCAGCTGCAGAATTCACGTTTCTCATCCTTTCCCTCTATGTTCACTCCCGGAAGGTATCACTGTCCTGCTTTCCCTGACTGTATTCATGCTGCTTGTGGCTGAGATCATGCCTGCAACTTCTGACTCAGTCCCACTAATAGGTAAGTTGATTTCTTCTGTTCTATGCACAATGTATGATGCTTCTCAAGAGTTGTTCAAAGCCTACTTGAGGACTGACTCTTTTTGTTGCTATAGTTTTGTATTTCAACAATATCAGGGGTAAATCTCTGCCTGGCCTTTACTGCTTGCGTGTATGAAATGAGGCTACATGAGGGATACAGAAAGGCTCTGGAAATAATCAGATAAGATGGTAATTGCAAGGATCGAGGGGACACAGAATCAACACGCAATGTGGAGGTTTGGGTAACTAAAGCACAAAGCCAACACCTCCAGTGCACAGGCACGAGTGGGATACTGGAATAGTACTCAGCCCTAGCATAGTTCTCAGACCTAGCTCTGGATTCACTGAGTCTGTCCATAAAGTCCCTTCAACAGCACTTTGGATGAAGCTGTGTTGATCCCAGTGCTGCTGTCTGGAGAAAATTTACTTGTCTTCTTCAGCATCGACTGCCTTCCCTGCTGTTATGTATCACTTCCCTGCCTGCTCCCCTCTCCTTCTTTTCTCTTTCCAGGAAAAGCAACTCAGGATGCTACAGTCAAAATTGAAATATATCACTGGAGAATTTTTAACATGTACTGAAAACTATTGGATAGATTATCATCTTGAGATGTGGGCCAGACAGGCATTATAACATCCTCTGTTTTCATAGGAACATCCCTTTACCCTAGTTTCATGGAGCCTCAGTTTCTCAACTGTGAACTGAAGAAAACATTTTTCCCTAAACTCAGAATAGAGAGAATAAACCTGTTCTTGTTTACAAAATAAAGAAGTAGGAATACCATAGGAAAACTCAGAACCTATTTAAGTATCATTTCCTGAGCTAAGGTCTATCTTTGTGTACAAATCATGACTAAAGTACACAATCTGGACAGTAGAAATGAACAAAATATTCAACAATATATCTAGCTGCTGATGCAAGGTGCACTTCACCATTGTGTAATTAAAACCCCTCACAAGTTACATGTAAGACAAAAGGGCATTTAACTTAGATAACTTCATGAATTAAAATCCCAGACCTAACTTTTGGGGGGGAGGTTGTTTATGCAACAGTACGGGCAACAATGACTATAGGCAAGAGTTTCTGAAAGCCTCTTACTGACAGTCAGCAGGACTATAGCCTCTGAGTCATTCAGGAACTTCCAAAAAACTAACAAAACTTCTCTCTGACATGTACCGAGGACTCCACAGAGGCAGATACAATTTTAAAAGAAACTTTGTGTGCAGGGAGGACAGATAAGCCATCTTGGCCCAGCCTTCACACAATTTTGATTTGGGTAATATGTAACAAAAGTAATTTGGAATGAGTAAAGAAATGCATATGCCCTATTCCCAGTCCACTAGCCTTAACCAGACCAGTTTATACTGGTACAATCCCCTTCCACAGAAGGTAAGATTTGTACCAAGAAAATCTATGAATAGTTATGTCACATTGCAGACTTTGGTTCTGTAATAAGAGATTAATTTCCACTTATCACATAGTGGTATAGCTATATTCACATAGCATAGCCATGTGAACACCTATAAGGAAAAGATGAGGGGCAGTAGTGTTGGGGACCTCTGTTGCATTAAGTCCCCCTTCTCCAGGTGAATATTGGCTCAGCTGTTAGGACCTCTCACATCTTTTCCCTCTTTCTGGATCTCAGTCAAGGATGGTGATAACCTATTCAGAAGTATGCTTTGTTGACTGCTTGTATTGTTGAAAGTTATTTCCTTATGCCCAAATAATTAGAGCATATAAAATGTATTAGAAATGCACCTCTCAAAGTTGTCATTTAGGTCAAACACAGTCTGTTTCTTTCATCTGTTCATTAGACAAATTTTGTATTGTGAAATGCTGCAAAAGAATAATCCTTGCACATGGATGCTTCATAACACCCTGGAGATTGACTTCGGGTATTCAGATGAGGGATGTCTAAAAAAGTCTTGTGGCTACTGTCATCTGATGCTTCCCTGTTACAGCCCAGAAGAAAACTAAACCCTCACACACTGGAGTGTGCTCAGCCTCCATGCTTTGAAACTCAACAATACTGTTGCAATGGAATCTCTTGTTTCATAGGATCACAAGATAGTTCAGGGTATAAAGGACCTCAGAAGTGGAAGACTGTGTCAAAAGCCTTTCTGAATTTGATATTAATGAGATCTACTGCTCTCCTCTTATATGCAAATATTGCTATTTTATTGTAGAAGACAATCATGTTGGTCAGACATGATTTAACCTTGACAAATGGAGGCTGACTGCTCCCAGTCACCACTTTCTCCCTCAAGTGTCCAGAAATGTTCCCCAAGGATTTGCTTCCTGATTTATCCAGTGACCAGAGTCAGAAAGACAGAGCTGTACTTCTCTGGATTGTCATTTTGGACTTTCTTGAAGATGCATACAACATCTGTCTTTCTCCAGTTGTCAGGGATCTTACTCCACCTCCATGACCTTGCAAGGACACCCTTAGGACTCTTCGTGACACCTAGATGATCCCATGCACTTCTTCAGGTTCAGATCTCACAGTCAATCCTTGACTCCATCCTGATCCACTGGTGGTTGTTTTCCCATTCCTTTAACCATGTCGCTAAGTATGGAGACATAGGAGACCTTGGTGGTGAAAACTGTACATACTGTCTTCACTGTATCTCTGTCCACTGCCACTAGATCATCCTCTCCACTCAGCAGCAAGCCCATATTTTGCTTGTTCAGCTTTTTACTGTTTGTGTAGTGGTAGAAACTCTTCCTGTTCCCCTTGACTCCCTTGGCAGTCTCAGCTCCTGAGCTATATAACATTCCTAACACCAATGCACAGGCATTTCATTTTGCAGCCTGTCCCTCCTTCCTGCATACCACTTTTTCTGCACTGGAGCTTCACCATGAGCTCCCAGTTTAGCTATGCTTGTGTCCTGATGTGCTTGCTTATTTCTTTAAGTAATAGAACAGACTTTTCTTGCAGTTTGAGGCTGCTGTACTTTAAGCCCTTGAAGTATTCTTGTGCCACTTTATCTTTCAGGGCTTCTTCCAGTGGGATCCCAGGTACTAGTTCCTCAAAAAAATTGAAGTCTGTTCACATGAAGTCCAAGGTCTATACTCTGCCATTTGAATTCCTCACTCCCTTCATGATCTTGAACTCCCACTTTTCATAATAACTATACTGAGGCTGCCATTGATTATCATGTTGCCAAACAGTTCTTCATTGGTAGCGAAGAACAGAGCCAGTTGTGCACCACATCTGATTGGCCTGGCCTGTCCTTTTATCGAGTATTATTGCTTACATCCTTCAGAAATCTTTGACTGTTTGCATTACACTGTGTTGCCTTTTCAGCAGACATCAAGGAGATCCAAGTCTCCTGTGGCAACCAGGATCTGTGATACGGAGGCTTCCCTTAGTTGTTTTAAGAAAGTCCCATCCCTGTATCCACTGTGTTTGGAGAATGCAATACCACCACAGCTTCACTCTCACTGAAGAGCTCTTCACTGAACCTGACCTACAAGCTGCATTCATCCATTCCATAGAGGGGCCCTTCATATCAAAGTGGCTCCTTCACATAGAGGGCAGCCCACGATGTCTTTGTTGCCTGCTCCTCCTAAAAAGCTTGTAGCTATGCATCAGAGCATTCAGGTAATGAGAGATGTTCCTTCACGTCTCAGTTGTCCCAGCAGTATTACTGTTTCATGACCATACACAGAGTTCCAGTTGTTCCTGCATATTTAACAGACTCTGGAGGTAAGCCCATCCATGTTGTTGTCACCATCCTGAGGTCATTCTTCCTCTGGCTGCCCAGCACCACTTTTTTTCCATCCTTGTCCACTGTTTCTCCATTTAAATTTGGGTTGTAGTCTCCCTTCCACAGCATTCCTAGTTTAAAGCCCTGCTTCTAAGTCATTGCTCCACTCCAAATAGCAAAGGAAAGCTAGTCAAATATGACACCAAGAGAAGAACTACCTTCTGAGATCGGTAAATTTGCAAAGAAATGTTGAAATCACATCCCAGTTCTTCTCAGTTGAGGCCACTCTCCCTTGACTTCAACTTACATTTACAATAAATGAAGCACCTCTCAGCCTAAATAATCACAAGGAGGCAGGTGGGGCAAGACACTTGCTTTTTTCTACCTCTCTGCAAAGTGGCTCCCCTCTTCCTTGGTATGTCCTCTGCATTGTCTGTGTGTTCTTAACACTGCCCAGAGCAGAGAATCTTTCATTCCACATGTCTAACTTGCCCACACAAGGGACTCCAATTTCTATATAGTCTACTGACTGTTATGTTAATACAGGTTAAAACCAACCAAATTACTTTCTGTAAAGAACAGACTAAAAAGTTTGGCCTAGAAATCAACAGCAGGCTAATCAACACCTTTGGATACCAGAACTCAGCTTTCTTGGGGCTTGCATTCACATCAGTGACTAGCTACTCCTTGCCTCGCAAAATGTCTGCACTAGGAGCACCTCCCTTTTGGGGGAAACAAGACATTTCTGAAGCCCATGCATGTGTGCAAAGCACTGTAATCTTTCAAAAGTTAAATCCTGCCTTTCTGCAAACTCATATGTGATGCTGAAAAAGGGAGAAGTCTGGGAACCAGAGCAAAGACACCTATTTCTGTTTAAAACATTAACCACCCATAGCAACAGAAATCAGCTCAGCCATTTTGATCAGAAGCATTAAAGTCCCAGGATAGCTACAAACACAAGAGTTTGGCCAGAATCCAACACAAGGTGACTACATGAACAAGGCTTGTTTCACTACAGGGTCCTGGAGTTCCCTCCTGGCACTTAAAATCGCTGGAGTGCAGCTCCAAAAAGGCTTTCAGACCATGACTATAGAGAAGCAGATGTGTCCTAAACTCACCCTTCCTAGTATAGATTAATCATGCCTTGCAGAAGCGTGTCTGCCTGCACTCGTGATTTGACTTACTTTTGATTTCTCTCCTTAAAAATACTTTTATCAAGAGTCTGTAAGTAGGAAGCTGGAGTTCATTACTTGAAGAAAGGCTATAGAGTAATGCAGAGAACTCCAGATGTGTTGCACACCTGAAACTACTGGTCTGAGTATACTAATCCCTAGGCAAAATTATAAACCCTGTGCAATACAGCTCAGGTACACTACAACAATTTTTCTTTCTGCTTCTAAAAACCTGTGCAATTATGCATTTATTTGTTTAACACTACAAATACATATAATTTTATGGGAACTTGATGAGCCTTTCTGGGCGTACCATGTAACACTGTTGCACTCAGTCTAGCGCGTTAAGTAAGAGGGCGTATCCATGTCCCACTTTGTTGATTTCCTGGTTCCATGACCAAATCAAAATGAAACAAATACTGTTATTTTAATTAGAGCTCTGTACAAGCTGAGGTCCCACCCATTGAAACAAAAGGCTTAGGTAATTCACTTGAGAACTCCATTTAAGGTATTTTGATCTCAACTGGAAGGCTTTTTTTTTTATTTCTGTAAAGACAATATGATCCATGTAAATAGCACTGTATAATCAGATCTGGTTTTGATAATGGTTTTATGACCATCTCTGAAGAAAGAATGAGTTCCTTCCTGTCCTGGGTTTAGCAGTAGCAGTCAATTTTTCTCCTTCTTAGTAGCTGGTGAGGTGCTGTGTTTTGACTTTCATCCTGGGAACAGAGCTGTTAACACCGATGTTTTTAGTTGTTGCTAAGTAATGTTTAACCAAGGACTTTGTGAGTGTCATGCTCTGCCAGGGAGAAGGGGAGGATGGGAGGAAGCAGGGACAGGACACCTGACCCAAACTAGCCAAAGAGGTATTCTATACCACAGCATGTCATGCCCAGGGAAGTAACTGGGAGTTACCCGGAAGGGCACTCGCTCTCTTCTGGGTCGGGCTTGTTCCAGCAGGTGGTATTGTATTCTCTTCCCATGTTATTTTCTCTTATCATTATTATTATTGGTGGTAGCAGTAGTGGTTTGTGTTATACCTCAGTTACTGAACTGTTCTTATCTCAGCCCGTGGGAGTTACATTCTTTCGACTCTCTCTGCCATCCCTCTCGGAGCAGGGTTGGAGGTGGGGAGGGGGGGAGTAGAAACTGTGTGGCTGACTGGCTTTAAACCACGACACTTCCTTAGGCAAGACACATGCCTGAATTCAATTTTTTTTAAAGAGTATTCTGCCTCCCTGTTTCCAGTTTCAATATCCCTGACCCATTTCATTAAACTCTGTTTTACATTTGAAAGCAACCTTGTAATTAAGGCTAGGAAATCATGCATTAAGAACAAGTTCATGATAAGGAATCATGTTAAGGAACATGACTTAACGTGTCCACTCCTCTCTCCTCTCTGAGAAGCCCCACCTCCATCCACCTATATCCACCTTGCTCTCACCTCTTTTTTACTCTGCTGCAGTCCCACCAGTGTGGGAGCAAGGTGACACAGTACAGAGAAAGACCCTAAAATGCTTACTTTGAAAATCCCCCCCAGCTCTGCACTCCTGTATTGGTCCAAAAATAACTGGAGTCTGTGATTTCAACCCCCGGTGGCACAGAAAGTACAGTCATGCACAGAAACAGCTAGGAGCACCCAACATAGGACACTTTCAGCTTGAGACCAAAGCTGCCAGAAGCTCCAGTCCCTCCCTTCACCCCAGCCAGGGCTCTGAGAAAGTGTCACTTTCAAAGTACTTTGTCAACACAGCTAAGGTTTGCCTCCGCCCCAAAGCCACATCTTTACATGAAACGTTCAGACCTCAGGCCAGTCAGATGATTTGTTTCTACCTTAAACACTTTCTATACCTGAAAACTCAAGGCGTCCACTTGCACAGAAGTGCTTAGTAATTCTGATTTTTTTTTTCCATGCCCAAATAACTCCTAAATACTGCAAATTATTATTGCCTTCCAGCTCTCTCCAAAACATCACCATTAGGTTTGGATCAAGACTCTGTATTTTGCTCTGAAAGGAGTTTTGTAGCAGAAAGCATGGAACACCTGAAAGCTGGTGTGTGCAAAGAGTGTTTGAAAGGGGAATGTGGACTTATGAATATGAGGAACTTGCTTCCCATGATTAACATCCATGTGATGCTTGACATCTTGGCAAGATGTATAAAATAGTGCACACTAAAATTAAGTTGACTTGACCTCCAGGTAACAAACCTGCATTTCTTTCTTCTTCTGTTGAGCTCCTTTGCTTCTTTAAAAACCACACTTACTCGCTGCTTAGGGCTCTACTATCATCACTTACTTGCAGCTTGCCCCTCCTTGCCATTCGTTATCATGCCTACATTATTTCAGTAAGAATGAAAGTTTTAGGCTGTGAATAAGTATGTTGGCAGCAGATGCTTCAAGTGATTTCTTGCAGATAGTCATACAGCAAGTGAAGCTGCAAATTGTTAAGACAAGGAAGCAATATGGTGTTTGCCACCTCCAGGAGTTACAGATTGCTTAAATTAGGAGCATAAGGCATTAGTGGTTCTGACTAGAGAGAGAAAATGAGATTAATCTCCTGTTACATCTTCTGTCATCTGCTTGTATGCTCTCAGCTGCTGCCACTTCACTGTCTCTTTTTGATTTTGTGGAGTGCTTTCCCCCTTTCTGTTTCATGTTCATGTCTAGTATCTCGCTGGTGGCAGGACCCTGCTCAAGTTCTTAAGTGAAACAGAAGTTCTCATTTGCAGCAGCTGTTATTTTCATGCCTATGATCAAAGGCGCTTTTCCCCAAGCCATGAGTCCTGGATACTTTTTCAGTATTGAAAAAAAAAAAAAACAGTTTTACTTTTCAAACACGCACTTCTGTTCTTCAAAAGCATGTGAGAGGAGACGAGTTTGAAAACACAACAAAAACACTTTCCCTATGCCCTCTATAAGTACCGTAACTAAAAGAAAGACACAGCATCCAATCCTGAAGTCTTTCACTCTTTTAAGACAGAAGGTCCAAAAATGGTACTGGAGGCCCCTCAAGTTATGAATTGCAAGTCATTGCCATCCTTTTGATATAGGCAATGTCTGAAGTTGCCTGCAAGAACAAATAGCTGTTGTCAGTGATTCAACCGAGCATCCCAAAGAGCTTTTCCATTCACATATACAAAGCAGCATGCAGGTTCAAAAACACATGAATAGGTTCTAGCAATGTACGGTGCAGACCTCAGTATCCTTGGGGCATGTCTCTGTGTAAAGTTAGGGATATTGAGGGGCTCCAAACAAAGGTCTTCTGGTTCCTTGTGCTGGCCTGTGGCAGCTGTCCAGGGCAGAGGGTATGAGCCAGGGCATAGAGCAATGAGGCAGTTCCCCTCCAGGAGAGGTCTGTCCCTTCCCAGCTGTGCCTCAGAGTAGCTGACATACAGCAACAAGGTCCCTGCTCTTTCAAATACACTGGAGTCTGGAATTTCAAATGCTCTTTCAAATACAGTGAAGTTCCTTACATTGCCCATGGTGAAGAAATTTGTAAAGCATGCAAGCTGACCCATCCATACCAGGAATGATCTACCAGTAGCTCTTAAGTAGGATACAGAGAGATGCTTAGTGAAAGTTGCTGAGCATTTCCCTTCTGCAGTTTAAATGAAGTTTCTTTGTAAAATCAGATTTGCATTTACCCCTGCAAAGAGACACATGGGGTAGGACTTTGTGGGAGCAGCAGCTTCAAAGCCTTAACTGCATAACTGCTGTAGGCTTTTAAGATGGACTGAAAATACTGGCAAAAAAAAAGTCTGGTGGCTGGTCTGTGGCTGCCACTTGGGACACCAAAGCTCAGTACTTACTCCACTGCTTGTCTCCCATGCCACATCTCACAGGAAAGCATCCTGTTTCTGTGCTCAGCACATCAGTGGAGGCACAGGAACACAGTGTGCTAATACAGGGCCTTTTGGGGCTCGGGCAAAGTGAATGAAGACTGCAATCCTGTGGTTTTGAGGAACATGTTATCTATGCACATTGTAGCTTGATCCTTTCAGCACATAGGCTCCTCTGCTCACATGCTTACTGGAGAAGGTTGAGTCATGGTCATATCAGAGGTGGTGGTAGAGGTGAAAAGGGACAGCAGCCTTTGTAGCTTTCACCAAGTGATGGGCTTGTTTTGGCTGATGTGAGGATTAAAGACTGCCAGGAACAGAGATGCTGAGCCAGTGGACTGGAGGAGGATTAAGCCATGCTTTAGGGGAGGTGCATGAGGGCCTTCATCAAATCCCCAGTTAGAGATGTGGAAGGCTGATGTGGCAGGTGTGCCAGGCACTGCTACTTCCTTCCTTCCCTTTCACTGCTGGTTCTTCAGGGTTGGAGAAATCCAGCCCTAAAGTAGGTTTGGTCTGCTCCAAGGCTTTGGGATGCAAATGAATGTGAAATTCATTTCCCCAAAAATTAAATACAGCATCTGCAACTACCTGGGCTGCATAGGTCTACCTGCTTATTTCACAGATATGTTGTGACATTTGATTACCTGATATTGGTAATACATCTGAAGTACCACATTCCATCCTTACTTTCCAATTGAAAACTTCACTGTACCTTGAACAGAAGTGCTCCCACCTCCAAATGCAGATGATGGACACCCAGCTATCTTCCTTGCCTATCACCAGACAAACCATAAAACATCTTTCTTTATGCATTCACAGGTCCTCTACAGTTACAGTCTGTTCCTGATAAAACTGTTTTTCCTGTTTACTAGCAAGTCTTCATAGGTCATGCCCTCTGTTCCTGGGTTTATGGTGCAAAAAACTGAGAGTGTGAATTCCTTTGGTAATCATTGGCTGGGATCTTGAGTCAGATAATACCAAGTTGTTTCTAAATTGAATCAGGTGACTAATTTTCTAAGGATCTGTGAAAAATCCTAGCCAACATCATTTTAAATAGAGCATTTCAGGCCTTTGAATTCTGGTGGCATCAAAATGTGTAGAAATTATGGAAGAGATTTAATGACTTAATGGCAGTATTTAAACCAGAAATAGCAATACTGTTGTGTTTCTGTTACGAGGGGCATATGAGAATCAGATCAGCCAGCTTCCCTGAGACCTGAGTTCCTGTTTTACTCTACTTCTGCCTGACTGTTTTTTCATGAGCAAGTGCAACAGAGACCCTTCAATTCACCTCACCTTCAGGACTATTCTAATCCAGCTGCGTAATTTGTTTTGCCATGGAAAGCCATGCCCACCTCTTGAAGCAATTGCAGCATTGTTTTCAGGAAGGCTGAGAACCCCATTATTATGAACAAGCTTTTTGCTGCTGAGACAGTAGGAATCTGTATCAAGAAACAGCTGGAACAAAACTTGTCTTGGAGCTTGTACTGAATTTCTGGCTTTTTCTGCAAGCTGCAGGAGGAAGGACTGAGGAAGGGAGGATATTGCAGTCTGGGGCACTGTCACATGCTGTCCCACATTGCCCCATCGTAGCAGCCAGCAGTAATGCTCTCTGATACTTTGCCACAGCCGCCTTCAAATGCCATTAGCCCTGTGGGTAATTCTGCTTTACACTCCAGTGCATTAGCCTCAGTCATTGCTTGAGGAAGCTGTACTGCCACTTAGGAGATACAGCTTCAAGTCTCAGTTCTTGCTTTCAAGATACTGATTTCTTTCCTGTATGGCAGGCTTAAATTTAGTGGTAAGCAAGGGTGTAGGGTGCTTTCACAGGAACAAAAAGAAGTGGTCTTGAGGGGCTAAGGAGGATGCTAAAAAATCCGACTAACACCTTGTGAGCAGTGGTGGGGTGAGGGAGGGAGTGGGGTCTGGTGACACTTTCTGAGGGTTCCAGTGACACTGTGAGGACACTATGCAGCATCTCTGCTGGTATTGTGGTATGGATCAGCACTGGGGATGCTGATGCTCAGCTGGTCTTGTCAGCTCAGCTTCTTGCTGTCCTGGCAACAGGCAGGGAGATGGTTCTTTGCAGGTAGCTTTACATTCCTCTCTAGGAAAAAAAAAAAACAAGCAGTTTATGCCTTTCACTGGTTCTATCCCTTCCCTTGCTGGAGAGGAGATAGGTGAGCAGATACACTGAAAACCTCAAAGGCCTCAAATGCTCCAGCAGGGAATACCAGAGAAGAGGATGTTTGGATGTTACGCAGTGCTTCTCAAATGTAGATCTTAAAGCACAACCAGTGAATATTATTTGCCTTTTATTTGTGTTCTCTCTTCCTAACCAAGTCTTCTTTTACTTGCAGCTCAGTATTTTGCTAGCATCATGGTCATTGTTGGGCTGTCTGTGGTGGTAACAGTACTGGTTCTGCAGTTTCACCATCATGACCCACAAGCGGGAAAGATGCCCAAATGGGTAAGCAGCTTTGGCAGTAAATATTTAACAGTCTACTGAATGAAAAAAGTAATCTAAAAGCTAAAATAAACTAGTTATAGAGAGAAACAGTTGTTCTCCACTGATCTGAGCTGTCAGCTGCAGACAATATGTTTGACGCTTAAATTTGCTACTGGAGGGAAAGAGCAAACATACTAAATTTGGTTTTGCAGTATCTGTTATGAAGGTTTTATTTAAATTTACAGTGGGGTGGTTGAGTCATGGCAGAGTAATCTTGCTCAGCATCTTTACAAGTGTTAATCCTGTGGGTAGACTTGATTTCTGATCCCACACCAGTACTAATAGAATGTGACATTTCAAAGTACTAAACAAACACATACTAGTCTCTGCTGGGCCGAGTGCCTACTTTGTGCCTTTACAAAGTTTCTCACTGTAGTTCATGACAGAGCTGTAATCTCCTGAAACAAAGACAGGAGGTGAAGCCAATTGACTTCTGTCTACAACTCTTTCAGTTATGAGCCGGCTGTCTGAGTTGCTGGTAGATCAGAAACCTCAATACCACAGAGTGGTAATGGTGTTGAATACTGAACTCAAGCTGTGCTTCTCACATCTTTGAGCTCAGTTACTTCACCACCAGCAGAAACAGAGAAGCAACACTGCAGTGTTAGTCTGGCTGTACTAAGGAGACCCCTTGTCTTTCTTGGCTGGGAAATATGCCTTTTGCTGAACCATATCCATTTGTCTGTGTGGAAAAACAATTTTATCTGCTATCATCTGATCGGCTCTCTGTGCATTAACATGTGGACCCTCTTTCCTCTGCAGCAGCAGACTAGGTTAGCCCATTGAAGTCTGGTACCAATGCCAGCTGGCCGTTAGGAAGAATGGGTTACCTTTAGATTTTAAACTTAAAAGATAATGATTTTTTTTCTCTCTTTTCTTTTCCTAAGAATAGATTTTAGAATAAGCAAGGTATACTTTGTGTTTACAAAAAGCAAAGGAATGAAAGCAGAAACAGATACAAATGGTCACAGTTAGCTACCTACCGACCTTGGTTTCACAGAAGTCTGGTTGTACAACATCCTCTGATATCTCACTCACCACATCTGTCATGCTCGACAGTTATCCTGACATGATGTTGAATGTCACATGGTTACCAACATAAGCCTGAGCACAGAACAGCTTTCTAATTTAGCCTTTCTAAAAATAAACTGCAGCATTAACGCAAATTAAAAAAAGTAAATAAATAAATAAAGTCCACTAGCAATTAACCATACTAACAATTTCTTAATGTGCTGTATTGTTTAAAATCATCCTACTTTCAAAACAGAGGCACATGTGTGTTCTGGGCGAATCTGTGTGTAAGCAAGACCTGAGGGCACAAATCTCAGTAAACATACTTCAGAGGTCTGCACGGACAGGGTATGTGGCAGCACAACAGCTCTCACTTGACAATTTTATTGTTTTGTCTGTTTTTGAGGAGCCTAGACACAATGGCTCATGTTAAATGTGCTCACAGGTCCTGCAGGTCAGCTCTTGCTCTCTACCAGTCTCTTGCTCTCTACCAGTCTCTTGCTCTATTGGTTGGAAACTCAGCATGCAGCAGATTCTCGCTTTTGAGGAGCCTTGTTCAGTTGCCTAACAGCTGAACTGGCATATATTAAAAACAAAATGCCATTGGGAAGCAGAACTGTGGAAGCCATTACTGTGAAGCACAGCTGATAGGCTGTGAATGCTGTAGATCAGGCAAGCTGACAGGGTTGTGAGATCTCAAGAGAAAAAGGATGAATGCCAAGCATGTAGGGAAGAGGCTGACTCCACAAAAATGTGCCAAAACCAGACATCAGTTTATTGCAAAGCTCTAACCCTGATTCACTGGATATTGTTACAGGATTGTTCTCACCTCCTGATTAAATTGAATTAGCTAGTGGAGGAAGCTGTAGGGGAAGGCATTGGTCTTGTGTGGGAGCAATTCCACATCTATAAAATTTGACTGACTGCATTGCCTAAACTCCCACTTTCTAAACTATTTACAGTGGAGCATCTTTTTTTCCCCTGCTTGTCTCTCAAGGGCTCTGTGCTTGGCCTTTGAACCAGAAGGAAGAGATGTGCATGTTAGTATATAGCCTCTCTGTAGATGCCCATTTCTTCCCTTACTCCGCTGCTGAGAATTCTGCTTTCCTTTCTATTAATCTTTGATGACTTACTAAAGCCAACATTTTCCAGGAGAGGCATTAAATCCAAAGTCTGCAGTCAGGGCATTTGTTGGCTACTTGGTTGAAAAGTGAGAGCTGCTGGCTGCTTGGCACTTCTGGCAATGTCACCTGAACTAGCATGGAAAAAAGCATTAAAGAAAGTCCATCTAAGAAGCAGTTTGGGAACAGACAATCAGGAATGGGTTTCAGTGCCATACTATCATGCCTGGACTGTTTTCCAGCGACCCTTATGCTGCAGCTGTCTTCTCAATTAACTGGTATGGTAAGAACAGGTTGATGTCTGAGTGTCTGTTTTCAAGGAAATAGGCTTTTTGAAGTCTAGGCAAATTCTAGAGTTAAGAGTTAAGAGTTATTTATTTTCTAATAACAAAGTTTGTCTGGCTTAGGATTTTGGAATTTCACCGTACTGGATAACTGATTTCTCTCTCCCCTTTGCCACAGATACTGTTGATATATAGTTGCAATTAAGACCTTTATTTTGTTCCATGATGTTCTATTTTATGTCCATAAGCAGAGGACATTGTAATTAAGTAAGTTCAATTAAACGCAGGATCAGTTTTTTATGCTGCTACATTATAGTTTTCTACTTGTCTCTGTTGACCATGGAGGAATTAATAAAATATTTAAAGACCACAATGAAAACAGAATAATATGAATTACAGGAAAATAGTCTTTCAGGATGTAGTATAAAAGATCCATTAGTGGGAGAGAAGCAGAAAGGCTTACAGAAAATGGCACAGCCCTGTGGTTCAGGAGAGCTCACATTCCAGAATTAGAAACTGTAACCATCTTACACTGGTCGTTGTTTAGGGCTTTTGCTATTATTAGTCCCACCTGTGGTATTTAATGCCTCCTCCTTTCTGAAATGATGTTTGTCACTACAGCAGCAACTCAAAGTGTTAGCTATAGTTTTCCCATCCCTGCATCTGTTCTTTGTAAATACAGGAGACAACTAATCCTGCACCTAAAACAGCTTCAGAAATAAGTGTGGTGCTGAGTCAAACATGGCCAAAGTGACTGGAGCAGAATTAAAAGAGAGTCCTGGGCCAGGACTGCATCGTGTCTGTTCGCTCCTGGACATCAGATAATTTGACTTGTAGCCAGAATAATAAACTCATTAAAAAGCCCACCTACCTTCCCGAAGGAACTCTCACAAGCACACTGCAAATGTGCATTTTGTACACATAATATCTGAGGGACTTTATAATTACAAGATTTTACTGATTTAGTTAGCTGTCCTAACTAAATTATTGAGTTCCTCATTTCACGTTTTTAGCGCCTCTCTCAGAAAACAGTAGAAAGCATAGCAGGCTCAGATTTCAGACAAGACATCTGAAGATCAGTTCACTGGAAAAAATACTGGACTTATTCTCTGGTGTTAGCTTATTTGATGACCTTGACAAGAAAAAAAGAAATCTGTCATGTGCAGGTTAGAGAGCTTTTGTGATACACCAGAGCACTTGTACACCAGAGAACAGGGAAATGACAGCAGTTAATAACAGCATTCAGATTTTGAACTGCTCAAGTTAATTGGTTTACTAGTATGCGTTTTAAAGGGTTTGCTGTATTATCTGGCTGAACTCTTCAAAGGAGTGTTAAAATGACTTTCAAATTAAGAAAAAAAAAACAAAACCCCAAAACCAAACCAAAACCAAAACACAACAAGGAAAAACAACCAAGGCTGTTTATTTAAACAATAGAGATTGGGGTGGAGAATGTGCTAAACCCAGCTGTTAGCCAGTTGCATAGTGTGTGTTTTTTTTCAGCAGAACCGAATCATTGAACACACTAATATTTAGGTGTATCTGTTTCCGTACTAACTGAGAAATGGTTGAAACACATGCAGCAAATTTTGTGCCGAGGTCTGGGATTGTTTGCTAAAGATAGTACTTCAAGAATCATTTTGTAAAGTAAGATTTTACATCTCTTTTGCTTTATAAGCTAAGTGGGAATTCAACACTTCTATGTTTAAGACATATCTAAGAAAAGGTCATCCTTGGAAGGAAGCCAGATACCTCCCACAGAAAACAATTTCAAAGCAGATAGCTGGAGAACACAGAAGTCAGTCAGTCTTTCTAAAGGACCATACAGGCTAACTATAATAGTCACAAAATTTTTCAAAAATGTTTTAAATGCAGGGAGTTGCCTTTATTTCTATTATGATCACTCTCTTTCAGGTCCGTGTCATCCTGCTGAATTGGTGTGCTTGGTTTTTACGAATGAAAAAACCTGGGGAAAGTATAAAGCCCCTCTCTTGCAAATATAGCTATCCCAAGCACCATCTGAGCGTAAGCAGCATGGAGATGAATGTTCTGCCTGGCCACCAGTCCAGCAATGGCAACACGATCTATAGCTACCATACGATGGATAATCCATGCTGCCTCCAAAACAATGATCTGGGTAGCAAGAGTGGGAAGATTACTTGCTCCTTACCAGAAGATACTGACCTTGTTCAAAAGAAAGCTTTAACAGATACTATTCCAGTGATGATTGTGAAGATTCTGGAGGAAGTTCAGTTCATAGCAATGCGCTTTAGGAAACAAGATGAGGGTGAAGAGATCTGCAGTGAGTGGAAATTTGCAGCTGCTGTCATAGACAGATTATGCCTGGTTGCATTCACCCTTTTCGCCATCATTTGCACATTTACAATACTCATGTCTGCTCCAAATTTTATAGAAGCTGTTTCAAAGGATTTTGCATAAGGGTTTAAGATAAGCATGACCACTTAGAAGTTGACATTGCCAGTAATTTTGCTAGATGATATAACTCAAATAGAGAAGTGTACTTATATGTGCTAACATACAGAGAAGGGGATGAAAATAATTTCAGGAGGTAATTATTCCTGATGTTAGTGATTGTAGCTACTGAAAAGTAAACATATTGAGCCCTGTTACTTATTTCGTAGACTAGTGCCACGTGTAATTAGGTCATGATCTGTGACAAGTGATAGAGAATTTAAATCTACAGTATAGTTATTACAAGTTAACACTGGTATTAATGTACTACTATGATTTGTGAAATTTTAGACATTGCTAATAATTTAAATTATCATTGATGACTATAAGCTTTACAGTGTTTTGTTGTTTTCAGTATATTTGTGATTTATCATTTTTAACGTGGCTGTGACATTTACTTCTTGGATTTGATAGACATATCTCCACAGTCTTATGACGCTGTATATTGAATTCATGAAAATAAACTATCATCATGTTAGCTCTTAATATTACAGTGACTGGAATGTTTTCTCAGTAAATATGTTAACAGAGTGTATTTTTTTTTTTTTTAATTAGGAAATGCTGATTGTGAGGATGGAAAAAAATTAATTTTCCATTATTATATCATTATTGGTGACTTTTTAACTCTCTTGCTGCTTAACTGTTGTTGTCATCTAGAAACTCTACTTGATTTGAAATATCTCTGATCTCTTGGGATATGGCTGCCAACCTAATACTGGCTAACTCTGAGTAATTAGGCAAAAATGTTGGCTCTGCATAATCTGTAGGAAAATTGCCACTGATTTCACTGGTCTCAGATTTCATATTTAGTCAACACCACTGAAGTAGTATTTTTTGAAAATCCTACTAGTACAATCCTCTTTCCAGCTTGGTCAGTAGGGCTTGTTAAAACGCATGTGTAAAAGATTGATTGTATTTTGCTAAATTTTAACATAACAATGTTTATTATCAATTTATTTCCAGAAGTACTCTACTATAATGCCTATATATTAATAAAAAAGACTCCAATTATGCCACTTCTCTGGAAGATAAGGGCAAAATAGCACTATTTTAGATGGCAGCTTCTTTCCACTCACTACTGTTGGTGGGAATGACACCTCTGTTGGTATAATTCTATTTTGCCTACTGATCACATCAGAGCTACAAAAAGATGTGGGCCAATGTAGACATCTTTCATCTTTGGGCTAACACAGCACTTCTCTGGATGTTCACTAAAAGAAAGTGACAAACTGTTATCGTCTATGGCTGGCTTTCAATTTCCCATTCTCCCAGTGTTAGTGTACCAAAATTAACATTTCCCATATACATGTGATGGGATTCTTTCCATCATAACTGGTTAGAAAGAAAGAAGCAGATCATGTCACTATTACTCAATGGAAAATATTTCCATCTAAAAATTGATGGTGAAGCTAGTTGTCCTAGAGGCTGAAAAAATACCCCTTTAGTGTAAGCTGCTTTTCCACTTCTTCCTTCATTAGGTCAAGATGGCTCCCTTAAAGTGAGACTGAAGTGAGACTTCAGTGTAATAAAGATCACACGAATGGATTTATCACATTGGTTGGAGTTATGCTCGAAAAGGCATCTAAAAGCCGTTGGCAGTCTGACTATAGTGACCTGTTTTATCCTTCACTTGGCTTTTGCACTTCTCGCAGTTACTTCAGTTCTGGGTGCAGTTCAAAGGGGTAACAATGGCTTATAGCAAAAGCCTGTCTGGAAATTCAATCCATATTTCAGAAAGATCTTAATTTTCCTTCACAGGAGCATTAGGGCTCTAGCTGGTTTTAAACCTGCATGAGAAAACTCCTAGGCTTCTACTTCTTCTTTCTTCTTCTACTGTTTCTTTCTCCTGCCCATTTTACTGCTTCTACTTACAAAATTTGTCTCACTGAGGTACAGAATGCAATTCAAGAGGGGTTTAACTAATGAAAACTTCTAATTGAAGAGCAGAACAGGTCTGAGAGTTTGGGTTACTGATATCAGGCTTTGCTCTTAGCAGCTGAAATGTTCATTTTAATTAAATGTTTTTATTATGACGACAACCAATGGATAAAAGGTGTAAATATCCAATTTCTTCTGCAGCTTGTGAAGCAGGATGCCAAATGAACTGTAGAACACTTGTTCAGGGACCACTAATATTTTTGCTTGAAAATCTCTATTTTTGAAAGTAATCTCCAGTGACAGGATAAAAAGATAAAAGCTAATGTTAAAGCACACAGTCACAATAACTTAGCATCATAATGCAAAACATGTTTCCTTACAAGAAACACAGAGTTATTGTATAACAGTATTATTAACTGGATGACTGTATCTTTCTTAGGATCAGGAGGAGGGTGGAAACTATCTGGAAACAATAGTGAAAACTAATTTCAATCACTTCTTTTACTTTATAGAAGCCAGTGCAAATAAAATATTCCATTTGTAGATTACTACCTTATTATTACTACCAATCTACAGTTAGATTGCCAAGGCTAAGTTGTCTTTTATAGAAATGTCATAAAACACAAATTCTGCTAGTGGTATGTGGTTTAAAAATCCTTATACTAGGTTGAAACTGCTTGCTGCTCCCTTTTTCAAATGACAAAGTGACGCAGATTCTCCTGACATCCAGTTGTCACTTGGCCTTTTGGAAAGTAATAACATTTTAGCACAAAATAGTATAAAATGGCACAGAAAAATGGTTGCTGTACATACAGAGCACTATAGATTACAAAGTGCAAAGCATGTAAGACTTTTCTGAGAACTGCAGTACACTTTGAAAGACGGATGCATCATCTGTACATCCTGATTCACAGCTCTTCATGGCATCTCTAGTTGGTGTCACAAAGTACCTGTCAAGGTATTACACGATTCTGAAAGAATTAAAAAATACAAAATTGATTACAAAAGGTAAATGGCAACAAGAAACTAATCCATAATATCCTTTACAAAATCCAGGCACTTAAACAAAAGTTACGTAAAGAATGATGGTAAACCAGTACCAGTCCCTGGTAACAAGGCAACATGATAGTAAAGGTCTTTGTGCACTTTCTCTTACTGAAAAGTACACTGTTTCCCAGAAGGCATGATAGATTTCTCTAATGGAGGTATTCAAGCGCAGGAAGATGAGAAACTGCCCTGATTTATTCACTGAACATAAAAAGCTGTAGTTACCATCAAACATAATTTTGACTTGGTTCACAGGTTACCTGTTTTTTTGAAGCCTCTTACCTATTTTGACTCCTAAAACTGTATGTTTTCCATTTTTGTTTAAAACTTTTCATCACCCTTGAAAGTTTGCTATTTTACCTGCCACCATGAGCAGTATGGCTGTGTAACTCCTGACAGTGAATATCAAGTATTTACTACATTAAAGTTACATAGTTCTTTCATTCAACATTAACTTTCGGGTAGTGAGTAAAACAAAAAAGGAGAGGATCATAACCTAAACCCATTTTCTTATTCTAAATTACCATGTGCCCGGAATAAGAAATGGTATAAATCAGAATAATGTTAATGGAAAGCAGGACCAGTATGGGAACTTTAGACAATGCGAGTGTCAAACACAGAAATAAATAGAGTTGAAACTGAGTGAAATACATTTCTTTTTGTGAGTCTCCTCTTAGCAGAATTTTGAAGAAAAATTTGAAACTCAGTGAGCTTACGTTTGGTTTAAGAGGTTGGGCTGTGCAGTGGTCCTTTGGCTAGAAGACTTCCTTTTCCCAGAATTAGATATCCAGTTTGGAATTATAAACAAATCAAACTTTTCTTAGTCTTTTTTTCTCTTGATGACATGCAGACTAAGGGAAAAAGAACTCAAAACATACAAAACTCTAAATTTTAAATTATATGCTCAGAAAGCTATCCTGCTTGCTTTCTTTTGAATGAACTGGAGGCTATCAAGGGTCTACTTAATACAGGTTTTGGGCAGAAAAGAGTAGAAGTGTCTCTGAGGTTTATATTTGACACAGCAGCTGTTAAAGCTGGATTTAGAATCATAGAACCATAGAATAGTTAGGGTTGGAAAGGACCTTAAGATCATCTAGTTCCAACCCCCCTGCCGTGGGTAGGGACACCTCACACTAAACAATCTCACCCAAGGCTTCATCCAACCTGGCCTTGAACACTGCCAGGGATGGAGCATTCACAACCTCTCTGGGCAATCCATTCCAGTGCCTCACCACCCTAACAGGAAAGAATTTCCTCCTTATATCCAATCTAAACTTCCCCTGTTTAAGTTTTAACCCGTTACCCCTTGTCCTGTCACTACAGTCCCTAATGAAGAGTCCCTCCCCAGCATCCCTATAGGCCCCGTTCAGATACTGGAAGGCTGCTATGAGGTCTCCACGCAGCCTTCTCTTCTCCAGGCTGAACAGCCCCAACTTCCTCAGCCTGTCTTCATACGGGAGGTGCTCCAGTCCCCTGATCATCCTTGTGGCCCTCCTTTGGACTTGTTCCAACAGTTCCATGTCCTTTCTATGTTGAGGACACCAGAACTGCACACAATAATCCAGGTGAGATCTGCCAAGAGCAGAGTAGAGGGGCAGGATCACCTCCTTTGTCCTGTTGGTCACACAACTTTCAATGCAGCCCAGGATAGGGTTGGCTTTCTGGGCTACAAGCATACACTGAAGCCGGCTCATGTCCATTTTCTCATCGACCAGCACCCCAAGTCCTTCTCCGCAGGGCTGCTCTGAATCTCTTCTCTGCCCAACCTGTAGCTGTGCCTGGGATTGCTCCAACCCAGGTGTAGGACCTTGCACTTGACATGGTTAAACTTCATGAGGTTGGCATCAGCCCACCTCACAAGCGTGTCAAGGTCCCTCTGGATGCCATTCATACGTATCAACAGAACCACAGCGTATCAACAGAACCACACAGCTTGGTGCCATCGGCAAACTTGCTGAGGGTGCACTCAATCCCACTGTCCATGTCAGCAACGAAGATGTTAAACAAGACCGGTCCCAACACCGATCCCTGAGGGACACCACTCGTTACTGGTCTCCAGCCGGATATTGAGCCATTGACCACAACTCTTTGTGTGCGGCCATCCAGGCATCCATCACAACTGCTTTCTGTCACCATTTAAAATGGTCTTCAGATCCCTAACTCCATCTCCTCATTAAGTTTGTTGAATTGTACAAATAATTCACACGGTCTTTCTTCTGTCCCAGTACAGTAGCAAGAGCAGCTGTGCCTCAAGTGCTTTCAAGAAATTATCTTAAACCTCCAATAACAGAGAATTCAATTTACCTAACATATCATTACATATTTTATCACTGCTTGTTTATCTCTAGCATATAAAGGAATCTACTAAACTCAAACACTTAAAAAACACCTTTCGTATGAGAAGGCGCAATATCAGGATTGTTGCTGACCTAGCATCATTAAAAAATATATTTATATTGATAATCATGATGATTATTAGCAATCAAAGTACCAAGGATCATCCACCGTGACAGTTGTAATACTGGGAAGATCATGTCACGGTTATGATTTTGGAA